AACCAGCTGCTGGTTGGAAGGGAGGTAAGCAAGGACCCACAGATCAACAGGAGTTCTGCAAGGACATGAAACAACTCCACACAACCAAAACTTCTGACAAAACCAACACTTCTCCTCTGAGATTGTTTTGTTGGTTTTGGGTATACCAAAGTGGTGCATGCCCAAGTCTTCCAGTCCCCCTGCATGAACAAAGTATTTGAAATGAGACCAGCGAACCTTCAGCCAGCTTCTGATGCCCGCGATTGGACTTGAATTGGTGTTTCCATGATGCCTGCTTCCTACTGTAAGGGCCAAAAGACCTTGGGATGGAGTTATGGATCTGGTGCTTTGACGCCAAATGAAGTCAGGATCATAGGATGATGTGCATTAGTTTTGTCCACATGACACGTGCCATGCGGCATTGATGCCATGGCCAGCCGGGATGCCAAGTGAGAATGCACCCAACTTTTGGTTCCTTTTCCCGGACCTCTAGGTGAGTGGGTTTCCCCTTAAAGCCTATATACCAAAAATGGTTGCCATGTTGTGCCCCGTTTTCTTGTTCCAGTTGTTCATTGGCACCCTCTAAATCCCTTCTTTAGGGGTTCTGCGTGACACATGCTCACCTCATCTCACCTCGAAGCAAGGCTTTGAACTTTTTCTACCGTATTTTTTTGGGCAACGGGGAAACCCATGGTTCTTTTCTTTCAGGTTCACTATTCAGCTCAAGCAAATTTCGTAATGACTGCAGATGAATAGACCTGGGGCGATTAATAGGGGGGGTGTTCCCTCAAGTGATGAATCCCCACTACACTACAAGGGGACACCCCCGTGTCAATCAATCAGGGCCGAGCAACCCCCAGCAAGGGAAAGATATGACTGCCTGCGACCCTTTGCTTGGACCGCAAGCATCGCCTAGGAGTGAGGTGCCGCGGATGGACGGGGCGCTGCACGTCGTGCTTGCGCCGCGTCGGCCCACCCGAGCTGCTGGCTTGCGGCGCGCGAGCATCAAAGCAACGTCTACTGCCTGCTGGACCGCTGCCGAGCACACAGCGTCAGCCCCCGCCAGATGTCCCATACTAGACTCGCTAGTGGTTCATTCGGATTGATTCGTATCTACTGGCACCTTCTTGCCCTTTCATGCTCGTTACTCTTCGGCCCATGGTTGTCATATCACCTTTTGCTTATCATGTTACTTTGTTTGTCTAACATTCTAGCTCCTTTCAAAGCTTATTCCCTTTGTTTCAGTTCCATTCCTTTGATTTCTTAATTTGTGGATTCATTTGATGTGATTCCATTTCATGGTGTATACATATATATATATATATACATACATATGTTATACATATGCATATCCATATTTACATATGTCCTATCATTTCAGCTTTCCTGTCAGTTTAACTGTCATTTACGTCCATTGGCAACATAATATGAAGGCCTAAACAATTAGAATGGGGTTGTCCTTCAAAACATAGTGATTAGTTAGTAGCTAGTTAGCCCCCTTACTCCTTACAGTACTCAGGTTCCATGAACTCTTCCTGGGGTGCCTTGTGATTGGTTGGGACTTACAACTTCGCTTACAACTTGCCAGACAACTTCCCGTGCAACTTCCCTCATAGTTGGCTCTGTCTTTTTTTGAGGCTGCCCTTTTTTCGGTTTCAAAGAAACACTCGGAGGAAAACCGTTGCGCCATTTCTTGGGGGGTCCAAAACAAAGACAAGCCCGTGAAGCCGCCCGTGCATGAACATGGACGCCACCAGCGGGTCCCTTTTAAAGGAAATTGTCCAAGCCAGGACCCCGAAACGTCAGGTTCCACGTCAATTGGTGGGAGGCTGCCTTTCGTGGTTAGGTTTGGCGGTTTGGGGGGATTTGAACGCCTTTTGAAACCAAACAAAGAAGGTATAAACCAAACCAACAGACCATCCTTTTAAAACCAAATAAAGAGGAATACCAATCCAACAGAACTCCTTTTGAACCCCAATACAGACTCCCTCAAAAAAACACCCCATGTGTGGGTGTGTGCAAACCAACATGGGGGTATGTCTTTTCATTTCACCCGCGGAAACCGAAATCCCGAGGCTCGCCGCGAGCCGGTCTTCGGAAGCCCGTGCGCGGCGTGGGCCTGCCAGCGCCCCAGGTTGGTACAAAACGAGCGGTCGGTTTTGGCCGGTTTGATTGGCCGGTCTCCCACGAATTGAGCCATTTTGGCAGATGTTTGACAGTTTTGGTGAATGGTTGACAGTTTGTTAGGCCAATTTTTGTCAGTGTCAGTGTTGTTGTTGGTGTTAGTCAACTTTTGTAAGTCTTGGCACAGCGCGTCAGTCAAGTTGTTCGATCAGTGTCGGCCCAGCCATGTCTGTTTCGCCACCCGACAGGTCTGGGGTTGTTAGATTATAAGTGACATCCGATCGCCCGCCGCCCAACAAGCCAACCAGCGAATCAGGCCAAGCAAACCAAGCAAACCAAGCAAACCAAAGGCCACTGAGGCCAAGCAAACCAAGCAAACCAAGCAGGCCAATCAAGGTGCAGGTCATTCCACCTGAACCCTTAAGCGGGCCAAATGATTCCCCAGTTGCAGCTAGCAGATCTCGTTTTCGTGTAAGCAGTTTTTCCCCACGCAGGGGAACGCGGTTCCTTGCCTTTTGTCGTGGCCGGTCCCCTTGAGACTTGCATGCTATCTGCTTGCCGCTCGGATCGGCGGGGCGCAGAGGGAGCGCCTTCTCGAGCCTTTCAAGAAGGTTGCTCCTGTGCCTGGTCATAGGTGTCCTGTTTGGTTGGTTTGCTTAAAAAATAGAGGGCCCTGGTTTAGATGGGGTTTGTTCCATTTACCAGGGCCATCAATTTTTCCAAAAGGCCACCTGTGTGCCTGGTCCTAAACAAAATCAAAACACACTTACTCCCTGAGTTCCTGGGCTAAACATGTTCCTGGACCGTGTCTTGCAACAGGGGACCGGGCTTCTTATTTTCTTGGACCGTGTCTTACAACAGGGGACCCACACAATTGCGATTTTCCTCGTGGTTTCCGTTTAATACCCCAAAAAAGGCAGGACCCTGAAAAAAGACGTGCCCTTACTTGCAAATGTCAAAGCCACTGGGTGAAACAAGTGCTCACGTGGTGCTCCTTGGGATTGCGGGATTGCTAGGCATGGTGATGAAGCCCGGCATTTCAGATCGTTGTTTGCTTGTTGACCATGACGTATTCAACATTTGTCCTTCTCTTTAAACAAAAACACACATGTTGTTTGTGGCATAAACCAACCAACAAAGCGATCTAATGTTAAAACACAAGCACATACTGTGGATTGACGAATTCCTGCACCACGTTGCAACCATAAAAGACCATTGTTTGTTGGTATTCACAGGGGAATCATCATCCCAGGGATGCTTAGGTGGTGCAGGATTTTGTCCATCCACGGTATTGTTTGTTGAATATACGCAACAAAAGCAATGGCTTACTTTTAACCACATGGCTGTGGGTCAAAACCAGTGGTGCCATTTTGGGGTAGTTGCACCACCCATTTTAGTCTGTTTTAGTGGTTGGATTGGAATGTTCACTTGGGGTACGATTTGGATTTTGACCCATCTGCTGAAAGCTTCCAGCGAGCCAAGGACGCCGCGGATCTTTAAGTCCTTGGTGCAGAACTCGGACCGCCACTTTGAGGAGCGGGACGGGTGGTTGCCAACGAGAAAGGTGGCGTTTGGAGGGGAAAGGTCTGTAAGACTTTGTTTCCAGGTGCTTAAGTATCTACATATATATATATATATACATATTTGAATTCCCCCTGTTGGTTTTTTAGGAAATCTATCACGACTGGAAATAGGTTGTTGTTCTTTCTTTTGTTATTTGTTTTTCTGTGGGACGTAAGCAACTGGCTTCCCTGAAAGAGGGATTTCATGCGATGTACACCAACAACCAGCCGCAAAATCGAGGGTATATACTCAGTTTTCCCAGGTGGTTGTGGGTAGGCACCACGATAGAAATCCACGGAGACCCAAATGACCAATTTGGTTGTGGGGATGATTTAAAGGGCAATGTTTGAGGATTGTTCTCAGGACCCACTTGGCAAAAAGCCAGGACATGTAGGACAAATATTCTGAAGCCCTGTTCTTTTTTTCCGTGGGTATGCGCTGGTTTCTTGGCTCCCCAGCTAGTTTTGCCAGTGTGTGTGTGTTTCCATCAAGAGTTTTCCGAAGAACTGGAGGCCAAGCTTTTCGATCTGGAGGCTTTTTTTTCTTTTTCTTTTTTCGGGTAACCCTTAGTCGGTGGTTGGATTGGCGATTTAGGGGTTTGACCCCCTGATTCCTGTAGAGGGCCGCAGGTTTTTGTTGAAGATCAACGTGCACAATGAGGATGCCTTTTTTTACATGAACATGTACTGGGCTTTCGACAATCGAGGCGTTTGTAAATGGATGCAATGCATTGTCCCAGACCTCCTTCCTGGGTTCATGTGAAACCCCACAGCAAAGACTCACTCCCTGAGCTCCGTTTCGGACTTGAGTCACGTTTTGGGCTTGGACCATTTTAGTGGTAACCTGAAAGTTCCTGGTTATTTTTTTCTGGCCAGTCCACTCAGGAAGTGAGAAGGGCACATTGATCCACTTGCAGAACATAGCGAACTGAGGAAAGGAAAACGGATTGCAATGGATAGGCGTAAGGTTGTAAGCTCAGTAATTACCCTTCCTCCCACTAACAGAAGGCATTTGTGGCAGGTTAGTTGGATAAATGTCCTTTCAAGGCACCCTCTGTCAGGTGCCATGGCAACGTGGGAGGGAGGCTATAAGGAAACAACCCCCCTGTGCAGGTTGCAAGGCAGAAGGTCTGCCTATTTTATAGCGAGCTGGGGTCATGATGAAGGTCTCTTACTTGGGGATCCCTTAAATCAGCTTTCAAATTTTCTCAGGGTGGAAGTCATACCACTTCCCTGATTTCCAACGCACTTGAGAAGGGGTACCCCCTTTAGGGTGCGGGCTATGCACTTTTTGGGCTTTTGGGTTCCTTTGCCCCAGGGGCTGCCACGCGCAAGGCGCTGCCGGCCACATATGTGGCGACCATCAACAACCATGCCCCGGCCCCGGCCGGGTCGGGGGCCGGGTCGATCTCAGGGGGCTTCTTCGTTTGTTTGTTACATCTGGATGGGCGAAATCCAAAGAAAAGGCGGAGAAATCCCGTTTTTCAATGCACGGAATCCAGAGAAAAAGAGAAACGCATTGATGGATGAAGCCCTATGATATATATATATACCACCTGCTCCCAATTAGGCCAGGATTTTGTTCATGGCTAGGTGTCCTTCGTTTCCATCGGTATGGCACTAGTGCAGCGAATAAAACCACTGCCATCTTGGGTTTGTCTTCTTTTGAGGGTCCCCTTGGGGTTGGTGAAAAGGGAAACCGAAGGGAAGCCACGTGTTTTCGGGGTTCCTTTAAAGATATATATTTTTCAGTTTCGAGCTTGGTGATGCAAAATAGCCAATAGAAGTGCCAATTGGCAAAGATGAAACCAAGCGACTGTGTTCTCAAAATTAGACACGCCCATTTTGTTCAAGGAACACCCCCCAGGTTGAATGCTGCCCAAAATGGTTTGCACATGTTTGCACTCCCCCAACCACTGTCGGGACCCAGATGACAACGCGAGTGGCTACATAGTGGCTGCATATTCCATTGCCCGCGGGGTGGTGGTTTGGGGGCATCTTTTCCGTCGTTCCATGTAGGATGAGCGCGCAGGGTCTGTTTCTAAATTTGGAGTGTCAAAGTCCGCTTCGCACCAGTTGTTCATTCCAGTGGTGTATCCCAACATTTGTTTGGTTTCATCGTTTCCAATTGGCACTTCTATTGGCAATGTTGCATCACCAAGCTCGAAACTAAAAACAAAATCTTCAAGCAAACTGTCGAGTGGTGTGTTTTAAACATTTTTTGAGGAAACCTCTAGGTGTGTTTGTGGTCCACTGGTGATTGGTTTCATTCCATAGGGCCCCCGATTTTTCCCGGACAGATTCTCGCCAACCCCGGCGACAAAGTCCGCGACGGAAGCCGTGGGGTGTTCGGCCGGCAGGCCGCCCGGATCGATCGGTTTCGGCCAAGGTGTTGGGGAACCACATGGCGGAGAATTGGTGCCCAGTGCGGGGCCTACGGCGGCTGCGGCCAGACCAGTTGAATTTGTTGGTTTGATCTGGGGGGAGGGGAAGAGGATCCAGCAATCCAGGAATGCTTATTTGTGTTTGATGTATGTTCTTGCTGGTGCGATAGGTAGGGAATGAGAAATGAACCGGTTTAGGGGATTCCCTGATAAAGGAAACCATAGCGAATGTTTTTTTGGGGGCATTGCATTTCTCATTCCCTGCTGGGCACCAGCAACTTTTTGCGGGGAGTTGTTGCTCTTCGGGCTGGGTTTGCTGCCTCTGTTCGGGTCGCGCTTGTTTGTTTTGCTTGCATTTGTTGGTTGCCCTTCTTTGGGGGGATGACTCTCTGCTTTGATTGCTTCATGTTGTGTTGTTGAGGGAGGTTGGCCTTTCAGATCATAACACAAAAAGGTTCCAAAAGTCCTCAACAACCATCCAAGGAAAAGCACAGTCCACAAATGATCAGGCTCCCAGGATTGCTCCTTGGCAAGAATTGCTCCTTGGCATCATGGTTTCCTTTCCCCTTTTCAGGAAGCAACTGACGCCTTGGACCAAAGCATAAGCTAGAGATTTGGGGGGGGATTCTTTGGTTCCCCGGACGGTTTTGTTGGAGGTGCTGAGCGCGATTTTGTTTTTGCACTGCAAAAGGTGACCATGTTTGGGTCTCTGGTTTTTAAGGTGCAGTGGGCCCATTCCTTCTTGGGTGTTGTTTAAGGAAAATTCAAGGACGCCTCTCATTTTGGTGCCCAGACTGTAGACTGCGAGACATTGGTGTGGAAAAAATACAAGCCACAAGTACAAAACTCGGGTATATATAATGTTAATTCGGGATAGTCCCAACTATAAATGGTTGCTGCCGCATTTGTAATTCTTTACATGTTTCTGGGCAGACAATTTTAACACCAGGTTTCGATTGTGACTGGCATGGTTGGCAGGTGGTTGGCTAATGCGACCGTTTGTTGGAACTACGGCAGGTTCACGAATCAAAGCCTCCAGGGTGCTAGAAAGGGCCCCTTTCGACGACCGCTTGGTGTGAATACATGTGCATGCGTGCACGGTCTGCAACAATGACCCGCACATCTGCAGCTTGCAGTGCTACAGGGCAACATGGAGCGGCACTTGCGGGCCACAGCATGCCAATTTATAGCGGCCAGGCAATCTTACCAGGGTCAAAGGTGTTTGGGGTTCAAAAGGCCAATAACATCCTGTGATACAAGACGACGATATCCAGTTCTGTATTCACGGCTGGTCTTTGGTGTGAGCCAATCGCCCCTTGGACCTGTTTGAACAAGTGAAGTGCAAAAGTTCGGGCCTTTTCTTTGTAGCAACCCAGTATTTGGGTGTGTCTTAAGACGGTGGTTTTTCTTTTGGTTTCCCTTTTCTTCCAACCCCAAAATGGGTATCGAGCCTCAAACAATTGCACGACCATTTGGGTGTGGCTCAAAATTAGACAGGAGGTAGAAGGAGGGGTTGCGCAAGTTTTGGTCCATCTTTCCACTTACCAGGGTTCCATTTTGGTACCGTTTTTTTGAGCCACAGCCATTTGGTGCATCAGTTCTCCACTCAGGTCATCGTGGAGAGCGAGACCGGGAACCGCTGGGTAGGGTGCCCGGCATTACCTTCGCGGATTCGAATCGGGTGATCCACTCCCTCAGACTAACGTGGAAGATCCCAGAAGGCCTCTGTAAATGGAACCAAGTCTTCTAAAGGGGTCCTGGAAGCTTCCATGTTAGCCTGGTGGAGGGTCCCTCCTTTTGTGGGTACCCTCCCGTCCACCAACATGGAACCTGACTGAGGGGTCCTGGTTTAGACTTCCTTTACAAGGCCTCTGGTGATTCCATGTTAGTGTGGACAGCAGCATAGATGGCCTTTGTACATTTGTTTGCTTGAAAGTAGATGGCGATTCCTGGTTGACCTGGTTGTTTCATAATGTATCCTCCATTTGTCCAAGAGGACACCTATGGGAATAACAAACAAAACACTGGAATTGTGCCGTGTACTGTCAACGAACTGCAGCCCATTTGTTTCCGCAAACGACCCAAACTTACGACCTCATTCACGCCTTTGGAGGAAATAGTGGGAGGGAGGGGCTTAGAAGTCAGTGAAGCTGTGTTTCAGCCGGGAGGTTTTGTGAAAAAAGGTTAACCTCCCCCAATGCTTTCCAGCGACCTTTCAGACATGGGTGTGTGTTTTTCTTTTTCTGGGGACGTGTTTTCCTGTTCGTTTCCCTTTTAAACCACCGGCCCACACCGACCGCTGAAAAGAATGAGCGAAGTGTAGATAGAAACCAAACGCCGCAAAGATTCTGAACAGAAACTTGCGGGCTGATGCCATGTTCAATGTTCTAGCCAACCATTTCCATCTTTCGAGGAATCCGTATTTTCGGAAAAAGGCCCAAACCTGGACATGTCAAGGGTTTCTTGGTTTCTCACAAGAATGATGGGTGAGCATTTGAGTTTAGCTTGATTTGTCCTTCTTCTTTTTTTCTCGTAAGTACAGGGCCGCACTTATAACTGGGGTCTCCTCCAGTTTTTTTTTTGTTTTTTTTAAATCATATTCAAGGGTAGACATAAAATTTTGACATCAGATGAGATGGTATCTCTCTTTTTTGTGTACCCAGATGCGGCCTTGACAAGGTCTCTTTAGCGTTCGACGCGCGAGCCCTTTGGTTTCCCTTTGGCTTCTCTTCAACAAGCCAAAACGGGTATCCAGTGTTCCAAGGGCCTCCGGTCAGCATCCAGAGGGGCCAACTCCAAACAAAACTGCAGCTTCAAAGGGGAAATCGAAACTAGAACGGGGAACTGCAAACGGGTGCACTCGAATGCCGGGTTTCCCTTTAAACACGACAAACCAGGATGCTTCTCAAGGCTGAAATCAGGCACACGCCTCATGAGGGTGTCTTTCTAAAATTTTAGGCGACCCCCCTCCAAGTAAACAAAAAACATAGTTTTCCTTTTGGTTTCCCTTTAAAACCCACCCAAACGGGTTACCAACTCAAACAAGACTCTAGAGAGATGACCTTGCCACATCGCCCGAACGCACGCCCGCTCCCTCGCGCCGCCGAGCGACGCGTTGAGGTGCTGCACGTGGATCCGCTGCAGGTGCGCCAGTGCCGGATGAAGCTTCGCCAGGAGCTCTTCGATGTCCAGGAGCGAAGGCGGTGACTCCTTCGGTCCTCGTCCGCAGAATCGGGGAACCCGAAAGTGGCGGCGCGTCCTGAAAGGCTTACCAAAGGAAAGGCACAACAAAAATTGGCACCCTCAAGGAGCCTTTTCCCGAAAATGGCTGAAAGGCGTCCTGGCTTCCAAAGGAAGGCACAACAACAGTTGGTTGGGACCAAACCAAGAAGAGCCACGAGAAGGGAGTGTGGTGTTTTTTGTGCCATTGTTTCCGGACCCGAGTGTGCTCGACAATTGACTGGAGTGAAATCATGTCTTGCGAAGGGTTGCTTAAGAATTCTACTCATGCAGAAATGCTTTCAAAAATAGCCACAGGATTTATATATATATATATATATATTAATATATTTATTTTTTCCCATGGTGGTTTCCATTTGATATGAGCCAATAGGATTTGATGAGGAAGCACTGGGCCAGAACTGGGACCCGAGTTAGCCTTTGACTCAAACCACATCCTCGGAGTTTCTATCATTTCGCAGGGGGAGCTGGGCCAGAGGAGACGAGGTCATGGATTTTTCGGCAGGCCCTGAAAGCCAGACTTGAAGTTTCAGGCCCAGGCATGCTGATGCTACAAAGGCTCGTTCAGAAACGAAGGTAGGGCCCTACGGGAAGTTATCAGGACTGATTTGGGAGCTCTGCAGGGCAATCGCAGGTATCGCTAGCCACTCCAGGGGCCAACATAACAGCTGGAGGGGGTAATACTTTGGTGTGCAGTCTTGGGCCATTGGGTTCCTCTTGGCTTCCTCTAAAGCACGCAAAACTATGGGCCCATCCTTCCATGGCCTCCAGCTCTCGCTCTCGCAAGTGTTTGCCAGGAGAAGAGGGCCCGGATGTTGCGGCGCATCAAAGCCCTAAGGGCAGAGCTCCCGAAGGCAGGGCCGGGGTTTTCCGGGTTCTCTTGCCTGCTTATCCTGATTGATCGGTCAGAGAAGTAGATGGGTTCCACAGGTTTAGATTTCCAGGTTGCCATCCTTTTTTAGATGGGTTCCACTGGTTTAGATTGCAAATTCTAGTGGTTGTTTGTTGCAATATTTCTTCATGTTGGTCTTAGCGACATGTTTATCGTTTAGCTTCCAAACTTGAAACGTTCTGTTTGCCAGGTTTCTTTACCGCTTTAGTCTACGCACCAAAATACATAAACTTCCGTTGCGGCCTGCCGGTCAGTTGTTCATTCCTCGTGGGCTTTTCACTGGGCATGTCAGGCTCCGCGGTGTCTCGGGCTTTTTACAGCTGGAGTTGGAGGGAGGGAGGAGGCCTTTGGGATTCCATCAATGGTTCTGCGTTTCTTTTGTGGGGGCGGACTTCTTTCAAAGGGGAGACGGGGTAATTTACTAAAGGGTGGTCAAACAGCCTTGTCCTTAGCTTTCCCTTCGGTTGCCCAGGCTTTCAGTTTCCATAGAGCGCTTGGAATTCTTTGGTTTTCGAGTTTGACGTGGGATTTCCTTCTTGCCAAAGAAATAGACAGCTCGTTGTTTTGAGTGGCCCTTTTCTCCAGCAACCCTTGGTGGTTGAGGTGTCGGTCGCGCGTGAGGCGGACCCTAAGGAGCTTGCAGCCTGCTGGGCACAGGAGCTACAAGAGGCCCAGGACACAGCTCCGGGAGGGTTGGGACACGCAGGCTTGGTCGACTTGGAGTCGGGTTTGAAAAATTGGAGTCCGTCTCAAAAAATCGGGGTACCCCCAAACTGGTGGTTTTGCTTTTGGTGTTCCTTGAAAGATACAAACAAAAAGGTTGTGCTTTGCGGGGAGGGCTGGGGGGGGGGGGGGGTTGGGAGCGTCTTGGGACTTGTTGGGATACCTGTGGGGTTGGGGGGCGAGTCTGTCTCAAAATCGGGGTACCCCGAAATTATGGTGTTGTTTTTGGGTTTTCCTGTAGAGCTGCTTCAAATAAGGAGTACCATGGTCCAATAGAAGACACCCCCAACTGTTGAAACACAGGCTGGTTCTTGGTGAGTTCTGCTTGTTGGCCAATGAGAGAACTCGCGCCCGCCTGCGCATCGCCAAGCAAGTATTTTTTTACGAAATTGACCATGGGACACTCCCTTTTCGAAGTTCTTGCTTAAAAGTTGCAATCTGAGCAGTTTTTGCTCCAAATCAAAGGAGATCCACTTTCCGACACAACTCCAATACTAAACAGCAAACTATCAACTGGATCTAGGCCCAAACCGGCGATCCCAAATAATAAAACTCCGCCGCGAGGATCGGAAAGGCGAGAAGCTGCTCAGAGCCTTCCCGCCCTCGCGGCATATCACTGCGCCTTGGCTTCCCGGATCATAGTCTCCCCCCCAAGCGGTAGGAGAAAGGGAAACCTTGACTGCTATTGGGTTGGATCTTTAGACTTTAAGTTTTCCACTAAAGCCCCAAAAAGTTAAACTTTTTGCAGGGGAGTCAACAGCAACCAAGAAACCAGCAACCAGTTTCTGACTTTCATGACCCCCAGGAACGGTAAAAATAGCAACTACAGGGGACCCGCTGGCTTGGTGCCGCCATATAAAGGGCATGAAGCGGCAAGATTGAGGGAAGGTCCCATTTTGGAGGAGCTTCACTTTCGCTCGTCGGGGCGCTTGCATTTCGGCAGCTAGTGCCTTTCTGGAGCCTAGTTGCCGTCCTCCTCCAAACAAGCACTTAAATGTTTGCTGAACAAGTCAGCAGGCTCTGGTGATGCTAAAGCATGGTCTCAGGCACAACACAAACAAACACCACGGTTATAACAAGCACTTTTGAGGCGCAGTTTCACAGGCAACTTCTCCCTCTTTGGAAGAAAGTCAGCCAGCCTTACGCCGGAGAAACCTTTATCAAGTGCTGAACACGCAGCGAAGGGCGGTCGCTGCCGAAAGGCTATGAAATTACATAGAGAACCCTGGGTTTTGATGGATCTGGGAGTTTATGAAAATTGGGGACCCCTCAAGGTGAGGGGTTTCCTGATGGTTTGCTTGGAAAATGGCTGATAGATGTTGGACATAAATCCCCTAAATGATGTCCAGCAAAGGGCCCGCAATTAAGATTCATACGCAAATGGGCGTTTCCCAAAATAGTGTACCGGGTTGGAATCCGTCTGGATGCAGCCCTTCTCTCCTTGTCAGGGTCAACCTGGGCAACACCCACATTTTCGAGAAATTGTTGTGCCACCCAACCCTCTTGAAGGGGTCAACCTTGGCAAATACATCACGTCCTAGAAGTTCTCCTGCAACCCGAAACCAGCCGCGGGGAGTATGAGGTGGAACAGCTGCTCTGCAAGATGCACATTATCGCAGGAGTGCCCTGAACAAGACCCTGAACAAGGGCCATGGCGTGCCTTCGAAGGACGCGAGACCTGAGACAAGTGACGAAGTGGATGATGCTGCCAGAGCTAGAGGTCTTGCGTGCGGACAAAATCCGAGCTCGCCGCCGGCAGCGAACTGGGGCACTGGGCCGGCGTTGTGAAGAAGCTAGCTCAACAGCGCGAAGAGGCTGAGGAGCTGAACCTGCAGAAGCGCCGAGGCAAGGCCAGCGGCAAAGGCTTCCGGAGTGCACGTGGAGGCCTAAGTCCGCTAGTTCAAGCTTTCCTAACTGACCATGAGTAACCTTTCCATTTAGTGGAAATATCATGTTTTCAATGATGTTTTTCCCCAACGGTCATCCCATGTTAAGGACCTTTTGATCAAACCCGACGTGCCTTATGGCCACCTTTGGGGATTGTGTTTTGCTCCAAAACTCTTCGACCTTGGCTGCTAAATAACGTTCGAGGTTCGGCCAAGTCTACTGTGGCTCGACTCTTGGATCTTTAACCCTTACGTGGGTGTCCTTTTTTTTGACCCCCCCCCCCCGCCAAGAAAAGAAGAAAAGAAAAGAAAACACACGGTGGTGTTCCCTCTTGTTCCATCTGAGTGGCCCTGCAGTTGAGTGAAACCCGACTGGGATAAACCACAAATGGTGCAAAGTGGTTTTGGACAATCTGCAGTCTTTCGGGTATATGGCAACAAAAAAGGGACTCGCAAAATGGTGGACATAGGTGTCCTTTTGATTGGCTAGTTTGGGCAGCAATAGATAGGTTCCACTGGTTTAGATTGGTTTCATGCCCCCATTTATCGGGGAAGCCGCGATGGTGGTCTTCTTTTTGAAACTAAGCCATCCAACAAACATGTCGCAGAGGTGTTCCTGGAGATCTCTTCGAACATGGTGCAGCTGGAGTTGGTGTGCCGCAGCCTGAGTTGCAAAGTTTTTTCGCCCAAGGCTGGCCAAGCCGCTCCCAAGTTGGAGCAGTTGGGTGTTGTTTTTGTGTTAGACCCCCAAAATGGCTTCGGATGTCCCTTTCTTATGCAAGAGACCCATATTAGGGGTGCAACAAACTTGCTACAGATGAACGTTTCTGCTAAAGACCAGCTTCCACAAAAGGTGACTCGCGTATAGGATTGAAATCTGTTTGTTTGGTTGCTGGCATGATTGCTTTGCTGACTAGTATTGCAAGTAGAGGACAATCCGTTGCCGTCTGATGTACCGCAAGTTATTATCAGTTCCGGGTTGGGTGTGTTCTTCCCCCTGCAATATGTTAGGATATGCAGTACCTGCCTAAAACACCCTCAAAGTACTCAACTGTGAAAATGTTTCACCCAAGCAGCAAACAGGTGTGCAGGTGTGAGTGTGTGATTGAGTGAGTGAGTGAGTGAGTGAGTGAGTGAGTGAGTGAGTGAGTGAGTGAGTGAGTGAGTGAGTGAGTGAGTGAGTGAGTGAGTGAGTGAGTGAGTGAGTGAGTGAGTGAGTGAGTGAGTGAGTGAGTGAGTGAGTGAGTGAGTGAGTGAGTGAGTGAGTGAGTGAGTGAGTGAGTGAGTGAGTGTGTGAGTGTGTGAGTGTGTGAGTGTGTGAGTGTGTGTGTCTGTGTGTCTGTGTGTCTGTGTGTCTGTGTGTCTGTGTGTCTGTGTGTCTGTGTCTGTGTGTCTGTGTGTCTGTGTGTCTGTGTGTCTGTGTGTCTGTGTGTCTGTGTGTCTGTGTGTCTGTGTGTCTGTGTGTCTGTGTGTCTGTGTGTCTGTGTGTCTGTGTGTCTGTGTGTCTGTGTGTCTGTGTGTTTGAGAGTACCCTATTTGGGTGTTGGTCTAAGGTAAGAAAAGGCACAACTCAATGCATCAGAACATTGCAAGACCAAGAAGCAGAGAAATATCAGGCAGCAGCTTTCCTTGCAACGCCTTTCACCGCGCAGATTGGCTGTGCGAGTGGCATGCCACGTCCGAGTTGGTTGGTCTCAACCTGGGGGACCTCCCAGAAATACACGGTTGCTGTACAATAAACCCAGCCAGGGTAGTCGTGTGGGCACAAAACGACTTGCGCAAGTTCGAGGTAACGTCAAGGCTCCAAACGTTTTTGTGAAGAGGTTGGGCTGGATTCAGTCCAACAGGAAGTGCTTGAGCATTGAAACACCAACACGTGCCATGGTAGATTCAACCGAAAGGGCCGCAATTCCCGCTTGCTGATGCAAAGGTTTTGCTGGGGAAAAAGACCACCTTGAAGTGACAGCTGTGAAATGAGCAACTGGCCAAGTCACTGACAGATTGAAATCTGTTATGGTTTGGGGAGGACATGGTGGGTCGATCCCAGTTCTTCGCAGAAGCGGCGGGCCCGCCCAATTTCGATGTTGTCCTGCAAGAACAAGCACTTGGCGCGGGGCTCAACTGTAGCGAAACACCGGTGGCACCAACAACCACTTTTGGCAGGGTGAATGCGAAAGGCAGGGGTTTCCCTTTGAATCATAGGGCGTTTGCGTGGACATTGCGATGTCCCCTAGTTGGGTCCGTATTTCCTGGTTGTTTCTTTTCCCCTGCAAACACTTTCTGTTTTGTTCCCTGTAAACCTAAACCCTAAACTTTGGTCTCTGGTATCCACTAATTGGTAGTAAATGGAAACCACCTAACCATCAAACCACCAATCCAAGCAATCAACTAGGCGGAAGCTGACGTATTGCAATTGTGAATATTTCCCAATTAAGACAGGTCATGAAGAGTGAAGCAGATGGATAAGATCTTCTCCCCCCCCTCCCCCAACCCCGCATTTGTGCGCATCGAACGCGCGGAAAGTTTCCGATGCCAAATCGAACTCAGCTCGAGGCCGGCACTTGCGGGAGGAGCTGCCCAAGCAGATAGAGGCCGGGGCGAGTTGGAGGGGAAACAGAGCATTCGTTAGTTTGTTCGATCTGTTTCGTTTAGAGTCGGATAAATGGCATATGGGTGGCTCGATTTTCTTGTGTTGGCGTTGGTACCCCTGTTTGTCGTGGTGTTAAACGGCAACCAAGAGGAAAACCACCATTTGGGGGGGGGTGTCCCTTAAAAAAGGATGAGCCACCTATGTCCTCTTCAAGAGGCATGGATCCGACGCCACCTTCCCCATAGCTGAGGTCTCCAAACCCATTTACACCAAAAAAGACGAATCTGAACATACTGTGGATGGTTGCGAAGTCTATTTCGCACCAACCATGGTTGAATCCATTGCTTGTTGGAATTTATGTACAGGGGAGGGTGTCTTAGGTGGTGCGAAATGGATTATGCCCATCCACAGACAGTAGCATGTTTGGTGAGCCTTCCGATGTCTCCCAAGATACTCCGCCCTCCAGATACCAGCTCTTTCAAACGGTAGGATTTGGAAAGCATCGTTTTCCGTGGAACTCTTTAGACAATAACCATAAAGATGCTTTCCAGAAGGCTATCAGTAATAAAAATGACATACTGTAAACAACATGTAGACAAGGAAAGCATAGTGATAGCTAGAAAAAACCAGTCACTTGAATATTTATTTTTACACATTTGTTATGTTGCTTTCATATCAAAATGGGGTTTCCATTTACAACCATCCAAAAGGGTGCCCTCATATGGGACAACTATTGAGAGCAAACCCATGGAGCGTCACCCCGCGTTAATTCTCCCCCCAACTTGGGATACCCCGATATCTCCTATCAATCGACAGGGTTTCCTCCATTTCCCCTTAGCATGGTTGTTGTTGGGAAACATTTTACATTTTTGCTTATTGTGGTTCAGTGGGAAATCCCCACTGAACTGCTAAACAATATTTTGTTGCTCCCCTTCCAACGTCAACCAAGTTAAAGGGAGCCCCCAAAAGTAGCGATCGTTTGATCAACTTTTGCAGGGGAAATCCAGTCTAATCAGCCGATGCTGTCTTGTGGGCTCCCAACACGCTGGGGCAAACTTCGGGATCCGACATTTTTCACGTGGCAGTTTCATTCGTCGTCCCTGCCACAAGCCCCGGCGCTTCGCATCATCCACTTAGGACGAGGGACGTTTTGTCTGAACAAATGCAGAGCCCCGCTGCGACCGCCTTTCCAGGGGGGTTCGACACACATGACAATTGTCTTCCCACACCCGGGAGTGCAGCAGGAAGGCTTCGAGCATAAAACATGGCCGAAACACCAGGCCTAACTTTGGCAAACGGGTTTATCCTTTTTAAGGGTTGGACCCCTAAAATGGTGGTGTCCCTAACCACCAAAACCAAGGTGCCAACTTCAAAAAACACAAACAAATAGTGGGCACCCTCAAACAAAAACAAAAACAAATAGTGGGCAGCTTCAAAAAAAACACCGGCAGTGTTTCCTCGTTGACTGGGAGTTTCATCTCGGCCTAGAAGATGGTCGCGTGGTGGCAAAAAAGCGACGCCGATGACCGGGGCAAGACCTGAGGCCGCTGGGGCCGGACTCCTGACTTTGGTGGCGTTGGACGGAGGCGGGGTGGAGCCACTGGGCTTTGCCGAGAGCAGAGTTTACGTCTTAAGGTTACCTGAATATGACAAATCCCCAGCCCTTAGAAAAGAAATCCGGGGAGGAAACAACCCCTGGAATTCCATCTGTGGTTTTTATTGACCCCTCCAAACTCGATAAAGGGAATTGGGGGGGCAGCTGCCACCCCCTCCCACGTATGGTAGGGGCGATTATGAAACAGAATCAGAACTTTGTTGTTGGGTAGACGCCCTTGTTGCGTATGCTAGGGGCATATGGTAGTGTTCCCCATAGTTGGGTAAATCGAGTCCAGTCTCTGTGCTTGGGCCAAGCCCTGGGGCCGAGCACGGGAGTCTTCCTAAGGAAGAAGGGTGTGGGGTACGGGTCCCACTTGGTCTGAACTACTCTAATGTCCCTTCGGCAGGTAATGTCGCTGTGATGAAAAGGGAAGTCCTTTGGGGGCTGACGTTTGTCCCTGAAGAGTTTGCGTTCTCTTATACAAATCCTTCTATAACCTCAAAAGGTGGTGGACAGAAGTCCCCACCGAATTCTGATGTCCACCAATTCGGGCCCCTACTCAACAATATATATATATATATACATATATATAAACATACGCGCCGACACGGGCTCGGAAAAGCACAATGTTGAACCCATACCGGCGATCCATGGGATGGCAACTGGCGATTGGTGCTGGTTTGCAGTCCTGCTCAATGTGGACGATCTGCGACTGACCTGCAGATCTCATCCAGTATGTTGTCAAGGTCTTGGGGGAGAAGTTTTCAGATCCGTGAGACAGGAAGGTAGCCTCCTGGCGTCCAGAACGAGATTGAGTTGTTGGCGCACATTCCTGGAAGGAGTCCTGGGCGAATTGCGTGTGTCTTGTTCGGGTTGGTACCCTCCTTTTTTGGGATGGGAAGCCAAAACAACCTCCAAAGCCGCTTTGGGGTCCGATTCCTGCAAAAAGACATACCCATAGGTGCTTTCTGAATTTGGTTTCCCTTTCAACTCCTGAGACACTAGTGAGAAGGCGTCTGCATCAACGAGCCGGACATGGGAAAGTTTCGGAGTCTACGGCGAACCCTAAGGTGGCACAGGGCTGGGTGCAAAAAGGGGCCCCTACATTTTTCCTTGTCCACGTTGCCATGGAACCCAGAGTTGCCCTTCTAGAGGAAGATGTTCGACCCCCAATCAGGTTCCATGAGAGGGTAGTTGGCCAAGGTCCTAAACAGCAAAAAGAGGGCATGGAGTATTTGGAGGGTATCTTGCTATGTTGACGTCTTCCACACCTTTTTTGGGATGGCCAGCGACAAGAAGCCACAAACTGCCCATGTGGGGCACCGACTTTGACGAGCCCACTGCACCTGGGGGAGGGGGAAATGGCCGCACGTGTGAAGGCAGTTGTTGGTTGACGGAGTGCAAATGTGAAGAAGATGATGGTATTTGTTGACCCCTGATGCATTCATTCACCACATTTTGTTTATTGCAGTTGCTGCATATGGAAATTGTCTACAGAGAAAACGTGTGATTGAACAACAACAGGGTTGTTATCTCGCAGCGATCAACATTATTGGCATCGCGTGTTTGTGTTTGGCAGATCTGCTGGTTGTTGTGGCGTGCCTCCTTGTTCACCCAAAAATCTGAGCCAGTGGCCAGTATCCCTTCAGAACAAAACAAAGCAACACACCAATGCACAGATGCCTTTTTTCATGGGGCGACCTTGTACAGTGACTCGCTTTTCTGCGTTTTCCTCCCGGCAGACGCGATGCAGACAACACTTATTCTCACACTTGTGAAAGCGACCCTGAAGGAATGCAGAAAATGGACAGACATCCCAATCGGAATGATGTCCCACCAAGGGCTCCCAATTCAAATTGACCCCTGCCTTCAGGTTACCCTTAGTTGGTGGTTTGGATTGGTGGTTTGGATTTGGATTTGAACCCCTGGTTCTTGTAGAGGGTATGTAAATGGGAAACCACCCCTAAACACTAAACCACCAATCCAAAACACCAACTGGGGGGAAGCAGAAACAGTCAGTTTGAAAATTGCTACCATTCCGTTTGGGTTCGAAAGTGGTATTGGTGAACTTCCGCTTACTTTTCGGAGAGCGCTCGAATTCACTGGGCCGCTTTGCTCAGGGTGCTGTTGACGACTGCCGGGCTCGGCGACTTTTTGTGTTCAAGCTGAAGATTTGTTCGTGGGCTGGGGCCTTGCAGATCAGGGCCCTGTGGTACCAACCTTTTTTTTCTGTAGTCTATTTTAGTTGCGGGACCCTCCCCCAAAAAAGGGCAAAAGGGCACTACTGGGGGACCTAGCCTGGGTACATGAAAGAGTCATACTGTGGATGGTTGCGAAATCCCTTTCGCACCACCGTTCAGAAACCCTGGAGTGGTCTGATTCCCCTGCAAACACCAAACAAACAGGGGTTCTTAGGTGGTAGAAATAATGGTTTTCCTGATTAATATGACCAACCAACAAGGATTCGCCTGTTTTACCAATAAACAATGGTTTCCCGTGGTGCTAATCAAGGGGTCTATGAATGCAGGGTTCTTAGTGCCTCATTCCCACCCCATCCATTGGTTTCTCCAGGGCGCACTCGCGAGGCCCGGGCATTTTTTTTGCTGATGGGGCTTGGCAAGCTGTGTCGTGCGCGCGAGCTTCAATAGCCAAGGGAGTTGCCGATTAGTTCTCACCTGGGGAACCTCCTTGTTGGAACCTCCAAAAGTGGCGATCGTTTCGTTCTAGTGGGAACCGCCAGTAAACTGCAACCTTTGAAGGGGAAATCCAGTGACCTGTTGGACTTTTCAAGGACTCGTCATTTGGAAGGTCTCTGCGTAGAGGGCACACTCTGAGAGAAAGTGAGCCAACAAGTAGAGGCCTGGAGTTTTTCTCGGGTTTCTCGTTTTCCGCCTGTTTCTCCACCTAGAATTTGGCTGAATTGAACGCCCGTCACATCAGAACATGTCTGGCCAAACTATTCCGAGCTCACCTCATAGAGGGTAAAGCGAGCTTGATACAGGTCCTTTGCGCCAAGCACCTTCTGTTCAGGCGAATTGCAGCATCCTATCACGCCAGTCAGCCAGTGAACCTACCGGCAATACTTGGCGGCTTGTCCGAAGATGACGTGATCCATTGAGAGCCCGCAGGATACTTCCCCTTGCGAACCAAATTTCGGACAACTTTGCAAGTCGGTTTCGCGCTTTCCCTGGCCAAAGATCCAAGACGTGGCTTCCCTTTGGTTGCCTTTAAAACCTTGCAAAGAACGGGTTGTTTACCCTCAAGCCAGACAATTTCCAAATTGGATGGAACGTCTTCACACTCCCTTCCGGTTTCCATCTTAAAAGGGGGGCTGGCAGCTCCAAAAGGACACACCCAGGTGTGAGACAGTCGACGCACTCCTTCGGGGTGCTTTTTGGCCGATGAAACCTTTGGGGTTTTAGACAGTAAGCTTGCAGTCATGTTTCCAATGCATGTGGGTATGGGTCAAATGAAACCACCAGGAATTGGACCGCAGGTTTGAGTCCATGTCTTCATTCACCAGGGTTACCCATGTTGGGAACATATTTTTGACCCACAGCCACATGGCTTATGGGTGTAAATCTTACTGGACCCTCGAGGACATCAAAGGTGAGAATTCATGACAATCGGGATTCATGGCTTCTTGGGTGTGAATTGGCATCCTCATTTCAAACATTCGAAACATGTGTGTTTCCAATGAATGTGTTAATTTTATCCTCATTTCAAGCATTCAAAAGCAGATGTTCGGCAGCCCTAAGACCATGACTGTCGTAAGTTGGCGCGCATTCTCCAGCGCGCGCAGGAGGCCATCTCGGAGCCGCTGAGTGCCAAGGGCAGAGAGGCGAAAGCCGTCACGAAGCAGAGACTGCCAAGGGCATGTGTCAAACGAGGACCTGGGCTCCAAGAATGGACATTTCGGTGTTCCTTTTTTGGTTTCCTTTTGGTTTCCAAACAGAAAAGAATAGCTTGAGAAAACGACGGAGTTGCGGGAACACGCGGTCTTTACCCAGAGAACCCCACTGAAAGTCAAGAATTGGTCATTGCGAAGGGCTAGAGACTGGTGGTATTGCAGTGAAAGCATTTCCCTGAGTTAGGGCTCCGAATCTTTTCAGGAAAGCAGCAAACATCCAGAGAAAACAGCTGGTTATTGGAAAAACCGTGGGGAATCAGCCCCTACAGTAACCACCCACCAACTTATTTCGAGGGTATGAGGGCCTAAATAATGTTCGCGTCGGTGAGTCTGTTTATGTCCATTGGAGCACATCCCAGAGGACTGGGGCAGATCCCTGCCCCAAGAAGTCTTCTCAGTTGTTCAGTGGATGCCCCACTAAAAATGGTCCAAGCCTCAAAAAAGGGTTCCCTTTTTTCCAGGGTCACTGAACAACTGAGTCCTTGCTTTTTTTTCCCCAGCTGAAAGCGATTTGGGGTCTCTGCCCAGATAGGCTCGTTTGGGGAGGTTTGGGGCACTCAGGGAGGGTTCTGGTCGGTTTCGTTCCCAGCGGGGGATACCTGGGCTTGTTTGTTCAGCAAATTGGAGGCTTCCAAGCACCCAATGGCAGGGTTGAAAGCTGCCCGCAAGATCAAAGATGCCCTTGCTGCTAAATTGGTGGTTTGGATTGGTGGTTTGGATTGGTGCTTTGGGGGGTTTGAACCCCAGCTCCTTTTGCAGCGAGATGGGGTAAGGTACCCCCTAGCGTCGAAACCGCCAAACTAAATCACCAATTACGGGTCAATTGAGTTTTGGTTTAGCTTGTACTGGTTTCCCACTGCGGGTTACGGATTGGATTGACATTAGGGGTCCCAACCAGTTTGCGCAACCCATATTCGAATTGTGGGATACTTGAACATCGTCATGGATTCTTCGCAATTAGTTTGCCCCTGACTCTCCTACCATTCAGTCCAAGGACTCCAGGAGATTCCGCTTTCAGCTCAAGTCAAATTTGGCGAAACCGGGTGTCAGAATTTTCCAACTGCTCGACAATCTGTTTGCCCGTTTCTCGAAACACAAACTGTTTTTCTGGGTTCCATGTTTGCTTGCAGCGTATTGCAAGGGGCTAAATAGTGAGAAAGCGTACTCATTCTGGCTGAATGTGATTTCCACAACCTTGTTCTCATAAAATGTTCTCCTGAAAAGTGATGTTGTCTCCACTGCAGCCCAAGAATCTCAGAATATTGGAATGCTTTGGTTTCCTTTTGGTTACCAGTCACAGGCCAATTGCACCGGTTTTAGCAGGAGCTAGAAGCAGGGCCTCAGAGTTTGATGGGGAGAGGGTTGGAAAGACGGAAAAAAGGCTAGTGGTCAGCTTCCCTCTTGGTGGTTCGCCGGACTACGGCAAGACTACCAGTGAATCTGGAGGTAAAAGGAGCTTTCGCTTCGCCTAA